GGGGGGGGGGCAGCTTTTCAATTACAAGGGTACTACAGTGTACTGTTGTATTTATGCTAGAATTAAAAATCAAGTAACCAAAGTCTTAGGTCAAATATGGCAGAATACACACTTGAGATGAAACTGCTATTCAAGTAAGTGGTTGTTTATTACATAGATAAAATTACTGTAGTGTGATTTCCTTTCAAGTGTGTCCTGGCATTTCTGACCAGTGACTTAATTAGGTAACTCGACTTGATTTTGAATCTGACCCAAATTAAACTGCCTATAAAATTTGCAGCTCAAAATGGCTGATCATGTCTAAAGCCTTACTTTTCCAAAATAAATTGACTCAATGCAACAAGCACGTATTTATACTATTTTTCTTTGCTCAGAGTTTGCTGTTAAATGACTTGAAGATCAAGGATTAAAGTTTGATTTATTTCAAACAGGCTTAGTAAACAATATATCTAATCTTTCTAAAGCAAGGGGGTTGAAGGGGAGGGCTAGGGACAGGGACTGCATCACTCCCTCACATATTAACACCTTACTACTGGGTATTGTAGCATTGCATATATTTGTGCCTGGTGAGTATGTAGGTCAGGAATTTGTCTGAGGTATTTCACTGGGATTTGCATTATGCAAGATATCAATTACATATGGCTGAGAAGATAACAGACTTGTTGTATGTTAGGTCTTAACACAGCTTTAATAGGACAAGTGATAGTGATTAATTTACATAAGCTTCTTATTATTTGTAGCATCTCATTTTCAAATGACATTCACTCTAATACCTTATAATAATTACGACATGTTTCCTATACATACTTTTATTATGTATGTTTTCATTCTAAAGAATTATATTGTGCTAAACATCAATAAAAGTGCACTTGATCATTCAAAAGTGCACTTGATGATCTGAAAGGTAAAGCCATGAAGGCGGTTTTGCAGTTAAGCAGGCTTTACAGTCCACCACCAACAATATGACCCAGACACATTTAAAACTCTCCGATGCCCTTTTATAAAACCCATACTGATGTACAGATGCGAAATCTGGGGACCATCAATCAAATATAACAGCCAAAAAAACCTTAAATACATGAATATTTTGCCATTCGAAGTAGTACGAAATAACTATTGCAAATACATTTTAGCATAAGACAATGCCAGTAATATAGCAGCTAAAGCAGAACTAGGCAGATTCCCAATTACACATGACATAAGTGGTCATGCTACATCCCATTGGCAAAGATTTTCTGAAATGCCAAAGCAGCGCATGGCAAAAACAATGTATGCATACGAAACAAAACATGACACACAGGTAAAAAATTGGTCAAGCAAAATTCAATACATTACTCAAAATCTAATCAAAACATCAACTAATACTCCCTCGAAAGCAGAAGTAAAACATGCACTGGAAAGTCACTATACCTTTTTGTTTCTCAAAGAAACAGAGCGAGCATATAGTATACTACGTACATATTGATTATTTAAAACAAATAATGAAAGGAAAGCATACACAACAGCACCTATACCAAAACATGAAATGCAAAATTTGGTAAAATTAAGGACAGGGGCACACAAATTAGCAATCCAAAGAGGCAAATACCGAAAACTAAAATCAATACCCCCTGAACAAAGTATCTGCAAAATATGCTCAGCTGAAGTCGAAAATAAAATACACTTCTATTAAAATGCCCCTCACACCAAACACAGGGAGATCCTAAAACCAGATCCTACACAAACTCCAGAGGACCAGTTCAAATGTCTAATGCAGTCAAATGATTTTGATCGAGAAATGACTGAACATTTTTCAATGTATAGAGATCCTATATTTAAATTATGCTTACATACAGTTTAATAGAAAGATGAGTATAAGGGTACCTTTCCTTCTAACCCAAGTTGAATTTGGCAACTTTTCTTAAAACCGATTTGCTCTTCTGGGGTTTATTCCTTATGTCTTATTACATTTGCCATGTCAGACTAGATATCATCTGTCAGTTCTGCCAGTGCTATTGGTGATCCATAAATATTAAGTGGAGGGCTTTCTGCGTCAATACAGAGTCTTTTCCTTACTCCCTCGCCTCTCCTCATGTCTGAATATTTTTGTTTCACTTTCTTGGCACTTCTTGAGCTAGGTGTAGTGCCAATAGTGCTTGCTGATGGTGACGGGTCCAGGTCCCATGGTGACGGCATGCCACTTGTTGAAGATTTTGGAGTCGATGTTTGGGGTTGTAGCCTTGGTTGAGGGGTTGATGGTGCCAATTTAGAAAGTTTAAAATGTAACCTTTTGGTGCAATCCTCAACAAGCCTTTTGTGTTGTGAGGTGACATCCTTGCCATTTCTTTTTATAACAATGATAACTTCAATTTTATCTGATTTTCCATTTTCCATTGCTTTCCTACAATACCTGACGAAGCTAG